TTATTCTTTAAAATAGCACCGAATAAAATGAATTAATTGTAATATTAATTCACTTCATACTAAGTTCATAGGTTGACCTATGTTTCATTGAATATTAAACATAACCTCAAAAAAATGTTAGTTTTCCTAATAATTTGAGTTCTCAGAAGTGTCCGTCAATAATCTTTGTTTTTACAGTCATTTACTTACGATTTCGAACCTAGAAAATAAATAAACTAAGAATTCTTAGGCTAACTATGTATGGACGCTGAACAATGTCCTTTTATACTGTTTTATTGACACTACATACCTAGATATTTGTTGATTTTATTCAAATCTAATGTATGTAGGATTAGATTTTAGTTCGTGCGACATATCACGGGCTTTGACACTTCGTATAACCACGTGTAGGTATTGGAGAACAAATGCACTAATTTTCTAAACGCTAAGGCCTATTTCCCGCTGAAGTAGAAACAGTGGCTTTATCAACAATATCCACACACTTCACCACGTGTATTTGAGCATTTGCATACATTCTCTTTTATATCTAAGGCCTACATTCCGCTATGACAGAAGAAGCGGTATAAAGTGGCGAAACCAACAAATATTATACAGCTCTAATGACACCACATCCTACCTTAGAAATGAATAAAATTGTAGATTATTCCTATTAAGATTTTAAGTTCGCTCCATATACTTCGTATTACCAAGTTTGTTAGAACAAATGCACTAATTCCCTAAGGCCTTTATCCCACTAAAAGAAGCGGTTAAACAGTAGTAATACCAACCAATTTATACAGTTCTAATAACATCACATACCTTTCCGTAAATTATACCTTGCAAGTTAGAACTATGTTCGTACATTTGTCACAAGCAGTAGGTAAGTAAGAAGATTTTATTAACTTCTGCAAGAGGCAATTCAATCAAATTAAACCCCATTCTCTACGTTACCGTTACTAAATCCTTGAATGTTATTGAAGTGATATCACTTTATTCGTATTTTGCGCAGTAATTCCCTAAATACAAAATTACAACGATACGACTGTAATTTTGTTGTTATAATAACAGTTTGAAGTTGCGATTATTTCACCAAAAAACTTTGCATCTTGGATTTATCAAGTCTGAAATTAGTCTGTAGGTATTGTAAACCTTCATTCTAAATTGGATTCATGGAAAAAATAAAAGACAATAGGAAGGTAGCGATAACATCGTCTTATCGTTGCTACTGCCTCGCTCTTATAGAACTGCCGAGCCCGCGTGGGAGCGACACGCGACCTGCTAAACTCAAGGCGATCTTATCTCCGATGATGGATTAGCCTGCCCACTAATAGCTTCCTTCGGACTACTCCACTCTGAGTACCTATCGGAACGATAAAAAAGAAAACAGAAAAGTATACACGATTCGTTGCCATGTTCGTGTGAATCTATTTTTGAGATATGTGCTGCAGAAATTTATGGCAGCAAGACGTTTGTTATTATTTTTGGTTGAAATTAATATAACTATATCAAAAAATAACTTTGAGTGAGTATTACTCAGTAAGGAATTAAAATATGGAAAAAAATGCTAAATTAATTTGATTAAATTAATATGTGATGCGTATAAAATTCGTTTGATATTTGAGGATTTAAAAAACTTATTGTCTTCATGTAATATCTATAATAATACGAAACATATTCTTATACATCAGGTTAACATTAACAAAAGCGATGCGACATTGTTTCTTTGAGTATTCATATCACTACCGATTGCCAGCGGGAAAGGTGTGAATCAAAATATGTTTACGTTGGACGCATCAATTGACTAGGTGGACGACGGGTGGCAGGCGGGTGGCAGGCGGGTGACGGGTGGATGGCGCGACGTGACGCGTTTCCAGTTCCCACGACAATTAGTCGAGGGCACCCACGCCGCCCACGCCACCCGCCGCTGACTCACACCGCGCCGCCTAAACGTGCCGGCTGCTTAGGGCTGCCAACATAACCGCCACTCCACTACGTGTCTGCTTACCAACAATCTAACTCACGTAACAGTTACTTAACCATTTATTATATTGTTATTTTTAAACTTAACTTCCATCAGACAGGATGTTTTATTTATCTAGAAAAAATCTTTAGATTTATTTAATTTAGCTTTTTCACCTTGAGTAGTTTACTCAACGGATTTTAATGCAGTTTTCAGCAGTAGATAGAGTAATCCAAAAAGAAGTTTTATATAACAAAAACTAGTTTTCACCGAGGCGAAATGATGGCGGGTTACTAGCTATGCCATAAAAGTGTTTCGGCTTACCTTAGGCGACAAGTAATTCAATTCTTGAATATATTTATAATAAATTTTAACTTAAACTAAATTGATTGTTTAACTAACAATGTTCTTTTGATTCAATCTTTAAAAAAATCTAATAGAATTTTAAAATACATCATTGTATAATGTTGTTATATATTTAGTTGTATGCTTCTCTATAGTCGAACAGCTACCAGGGTTATTAACCGTTATAGACTAGTGTTATTTCTAAAGAATGAATTACGATCATCGTCTGGCGAAGAAATCTAACCAGGAATCATAATCGTGGGAATGGGAACGGTAAATGCGTCATGGCGAGACGGCTAGCCCACGTTTCGCCCACGCAGAGACGTTTACTGATTCACGCCGTCTCCGGCATCAAGAGCTATCTCGATTGAACAGAAATATAATCTTTGGACTTTTGTTTGAGTTATTAATAAAGTATCTCAATGCAGCCTGAAACACATTTTTATATCCCCATGTAATTATAGTAAAATGAAAATGAACTCTGTGATGTACCTATAATAACAGTTTAGATAATCAATTTTGCAAGCCGTATTAGACAATAAATTTTAGTAATAATGACAGCCCTGCAACTACTGTACTTGCTGCGGAGTACGGAAGGAGTCGCAGACAATAGATCAAATGATAAATCGTGGGTGTTACTCTCGTACTATTAGTTAAGCTACAGTGCTACGCTATCACTGATTGATTCAAGATTAATTTAAGTGTAGGTGCAATTTTTTTAAAGTTATTTATTTTTCGTGGATTTTGGAGTTCTTATTCCAAAACACAAATTATCGTAGCGTTTTAGCGCTACTAAGTTTGAGTTGCACCAGCGAGGTAATAATACATATAACTATAACTGTCCATCAAGGCCAGTTAAAGTTATAGTAAAATTAAATTTTACTTTAATTAGGTCTGTGGTGCAACTCATACAAAATATTTATTTATAATAACATATATGCGCAATGCTAAATGATATTCATTGGGTAAAACAGATTTTATGACTATATGAAAATCAAAAGTGATTTCTGTATCGTGAAAGCTTTGGATATTATACTACAAACTAGTTTATTTAAAACGGATTCAAAACTAACGTTTTGCATTATCGTAATCACAAAAATATAATTATAAAGGTGAAATAATTGTAACCATTACTAATTAACAATTTTATTTGTTCGCAGAAGGCGCGCTAATGGTACAATAGTTTGCATCTTTCGAGTCTCGCTGCTAATGGCTCCAGAGTCCCACGCTCACTAAATTAGCAGTAAGGACCAGATTTAAGATAGGGCAGGCGGGATTTCGGCCCAAGGGTCTCTAGCAGAGCGGGGCCCCCACAACAGAGATAAAAATAACAGAATTTCTATCCAACCAGGGAGGAGAGGAGGTACAAATCGTAAGTGGCCGTGGGTGTCCACAACTTAACTCTGAGTATAACTCAGTACTATCTACATATCAATAATGTGTATCATTAGCCTATTAATGTCCCCACCGCTGGTGTTCCCCACTTCCCTATGGAGGGAATAGGGGAATTGGGCACCATGACCCACCACGCGAGCCCAATGCGGATTTATGAGTGCTAAACGACTGCAAATGCAACCGGGACCTAGCTGAACGTGCTTTTAGAAGTACGGTGGAGCACGGATAGTAATTATTATTTTAACGGATTTTTTACTACCCATCCGACGTCCAGCCATAGCGAAAACCGCGCTAGCGACTTACAATCGACTTTCTTCTATAATGTATTTATATTAATTACTAGTGTGGTAGGTAGAACTGCTGTACCAGCTATCTTCACGTCTGGACTTCACCGTCACTTAACATCAGGTGGGGCGGAGTCTTTGTCGGACCTATTTATAAAAAAACAATTTGGTACGCATATACTTTATGACCTGGAGACATAGAATACTTTCTATCCCGGAAAAGTGTTAGGTTTCTGAGGGATTTTCAAAAAACTAAATCGCAAGTGGCCGCTACTAGAAAATAGTTGTAGCATGTAATCGTGTATTCCACCTGATTCTATCTAATTCCCTACCTCGTAAAACCCTGGAAACCGTTGTTACCAACAGAACTACAAAGACCACATTGAAGTTAGTGTGTTATTGCACTGTGGTCTTCTCTGTAAAGTTTTCATACATCGGGCGGGCGCTCAAATCCGAGCGGCAAATATGTTAAGAGTTAAGACCACTTAAATTAAAAAAAAAAACAAATAACTCTATGTCACAGCAAATAAGTACGTAATATATGGAAATCATTAAGTGTCTCTATATTACAAATGAACACAAATTATGATAAAAACAGCAAATGACTACATTTAAATTAGGGCACGTTTCCTTGAAAAGTATTTTTTATGGAAGTTCTCAAAATAACAGGATATGAGATAGAAATAAGCCTTGTGTTATGTTGTATATTAAGTGTAAATTGACGCTGTCTTAATTAAAAATATAGTTATAATTAATTACTGTGAAGTGGTAATCCAAAAATATCAAAATAAGCATAAAAACTAAAAATAGTATTGGACTTATTAAATCTAGATCTCTTGTTTTAAATAGTAGAATCGAGTTAACCTTAAAAATATTTTTTATTTATTTTGATTTAAAAACAAAATAAACAACAAAAATAACATACTCTTTTCGTAAAAAAGAGCGCGTTGATGTCTTTCATTAGAATATTGAAAAAAATTTTAGTCTTTTACTATTTATTCATAACTCGTAACATTAAATATTATATGTAAGCTCACCCTTCTGTTATCGCCGGACTTCTTCGTCTCGGGTTGGGCGGGCGAAGTCATATTGTTCACCGCCACTGCGTTCATATCGGCCTGGGGGCCTGTACCAGTCACCATAGTTTCTACGCACTATCACTGGAAACTAGAAGTAGTCACTGCATATCGCGCGAGTTTGCTGTCTCGAGTGTGACGTAGGGCGTGCGTCACGGAAGAGTGCCGGCGCGCGACTGAACTGCGGTGATGGCAGACGGCAGCTTCACTCTATCTCGAATGGCGCGTGGTCGAACGCGGGCGGCGGACACTGCGGCACGCGACCGCAGCACGAACCGCCTCGCGTGCCTCCGCAGTATCAAAAAATAAATAATACAGAGTCAGAAGGTAATATGCATACAAAGTGCGCTCGAACAACGCACACGTAGACACCGCTCACAGACACAATATCTCGTACCGCTTGGGACTAGTACGAGCACAAGTTCCAACCGCTTGAAACACGCGCGTGTGATCTTTTTTGTGCAAAAATGGAGGAACAAAAGAGAAATTAGTTTTTTCGTCGCCGTCGTTTTTTTAATTTGGACCTAATATGACAATATCATTAAAATTAAAATAGGTATGAAAAATGAAGTACATACATGAGATTACCTTCTGTACTATCTATTATGTGGCAGTACGTATGAACCTACACACTACGCATATAAGGCTGATCGCGAACTACTGCAAAAAAAACATGTGCTAGAAACGCCACAAAATTTTGTAGACGGAAATGCCATAGAAGGGCACACACTGCTTCACAAAAAATAAGAAATTTCCTAACAAGAAAAGCAATTTTTCTGCCGCACAGTAGTTTGCGCGGATGTAAATCAGTTTACAGAAGCCTAGCCTAGCTCCAATCACATGAGTAGTTATTATAGACACGAAAAAAAAACTATAGAGCGGACGAAATTTTTTCGTTAAATGGGTAATTAATCATGTAAATAATAATAATCGCCTTTTCTAAACCATGACAAGTATAGGTACAATATAACAATTTAGCATAACAACCGTATAGTAGCAACCGTAGTCTAGGACTATTATTAGCACTATATTATAATATTTTTGTCCCTCGGTAAACAATGTAAGTGCCTACTATTGGTCTATCTTTTATATAAACTTTCGTTCAATGATATTATATTAGATTTTTAGGGCTATGCAGTCCTAATAACTGTAGTCACTGCGACCTATAAGATCTATTGTGACTCGCCACCAAGTTAAAGTATCTCTTTATGCCCGACTGCTTCCAAGAGGCTCAAAATGTTTCTAGTTTTAAAAATTTGATTTCCTCTGGGCGTATTATATGGCTTCCCAAATGAATACTACGTTTGTGGATGAGAGGCCCACATTCACGTGTTTTGGTGTTTCACGATCCTGATTACAGTATCTGCAAACATCAGTATCATTTAATTTCATATGAAATTGGTGTCTGTTGAGTTTGCAGAGTCCAGTTAAGGCTCTTACGATATCACGAATCTTCGGCCTGCTAAGTTCTATTAACTCAACAGTCCGTTTTTTCGAGTAACCCTCTATCAGTGATTTAGTGTGCTCTAATCCTGGTTGATTTAACCAGTATTTTTCGATTCGCTTAGAAGATCATCCTAATGAATTTGCATAGCATGGTTTCTAGGGATGCCACGGAAAGGTTCTGGTCCCATCTTTTGCCCCTGTGCCCCTGCTCTTGCTAATTCATCAGCTTTGTCTTTGCAGATTATCCCTAAATGACCTGGTACCAATTTAAGAATAACTTTATTCTTTTAATCCAGGTTATTCAGTTTATCAACGCAGTCTTTCAACAATTTCGAGCATATCGTGTTGCGCAGCTTAGCTATCTGAAAAGATATATATGGCCTGGTTTGTGTAGTTTCGTTGACGGTTGGCTTCTGCACATTCATTTACAATATGGTTCTTTTGTCTAGTGCTTTTAATTCAATGTAAATACTAAATATAATACGTATAAGTGTTTTTTCTAGTAATCTAATGTAAAGCAATCAATTGCATATGAAATAAGAATACAATTATATAAGCATTTTAGTTAATTAATATCGACAGTGTTTGTTTCGAGATCAAAATATTCAGATTTTTTTGTAAATTTGTCACAATGATCAATTATCGTAAATTGAAAAACATACTCTGTATAAAATTCAACTCTATGTAACGGTTTATGGCCTGCAGCCTTCTCGTTCTTTGTGTATGGAACTCTAAAAATTTACTTGGATTCCATCGAGCTTAAAGCTCAGAATAGCCCTATTGTTTGTCCACACAATTTACCTATTTAACATTACGTTAATCAGTAGGTACGTTACACGTAAAATGAAAACGAATGATCTAAGTTTGGAGCATACTTAAAACTCTGAAACACTCTTAAATATTCAAATATGTAGTATGGTAGACTCTTAAATATTGAAATCGTTCACAGACATCAGTCGCAGAGCCGCCGCTCGCCACTAATATATTGACAGTGCGCATAAATTAGTTCTCGTCTGCCGCCTGCGACATCAAAGTGCCGGCGACACAACACTGCCTAGAAAACGGGTAATAGGCGCAAAGTGGCCAAGCTAGGGTTACCATTTGAACCTCTTTTGTTTTAAAAGTAAGCAACCAACAGAAAAAAAATGCATTTCTTCCGCAAAATTTTCCTTTTTTGTTTGAATTAAACCATTCTGTTAGCGCTACCATTAAAGTTTTAATTCCAAGCTTTGATTCACACAATCGATCCTAAGTAATTAATGCAGTCTCAATTAAACGTTTATCGAAAAGTAATAACTTAAAAAAATCAGCACAACATAATAATAAAGTTTTTCCTTCAGTATTTAGTTGACAATTTTCGACCTAATTAGAATATTATACAGGAGGCGTCCTGTCGTCGTAAATTTCTATCGCGGTATATTTTTCCAAACTATTCCATCGTATAAAACATTTTTGCTAAGACCTAACAACAAACCTACCAGTCAAAAAAACAGAATTATTAGCAGCTTCATATATGAATATGCAATCATCCGACCACCCGGATTCCACGCGTCAGATCTTTATTCAAATGCCCTATTGTGAAACGCAAACGCCGCACGCCGGCCGCCGTCTGCGACTAATTATAGACGCTTTTAACAGGCTTCGCAGGAACAATACTTACTACACTCCGCTATATCTCGAGCGCATACTTCACGCCTGTCAAATATACGTTAATGCGTGGGCAAACTGGCTTTATGAATATTCTTTAGAGGATGGCTTTTTCTAAACATTTATGCATTTTACAATTGTATTTTTTGAAGATCCGTAAGGTATGTAAATAGTTGGCATTAGTGGTTAGATTTCGAGAAATGTGTTGGGTTCTCTTCCCATTACCGGGCGAAGAAAGCATTACTAAAAAGGACCGACCACCGACTCACGACATTTTATCTCAGTGGAAATGCTCTCAATTTATGAGAAGCATTTAAAGACTACCCAATTGATGTCAAGTGGATATTAAGACCAAACCAGAACATAGTTGGTTTTTTGCACACATTTAGGCACCACCAGCCTCAAAACTGTTTTCACTCCCCTTTTAAAGGAACCCAAATAGCATGAAGGAGGGAACTCGTTTATTTAAAACACAAAATTAAAAATAAGTTGAAGGTCTCCCTCATTTTAACGACAGCTAATACATGCTATTTATTTAGATTAAATATTCTGTATTTAAAATATTTTTTATTCCGTTTTTCCAAGAAATACAACTTCATGTAAATTACATAGCAAAATTTTGAAATTTGTGTTTTTCTTAAAGCACGATTGCTGTCGTGCTGTCGTCACTTAGATAATAGAAACAACTTAGAAACAGTTACTATTTAATAATACAATTATTTTCAATAAAAAAGGCCTGTTATATGTAACGGATAACGGACCTTTTTTTAAAGTTCCGTTTTATTTTTACACGCAGTCGGCTACGTTTTTTCGATAAAGCATAAACAAAAGGTTGCTCTATTTTGCTTATTTTTATGACTGACTGACTCAAATATAGAGCACAGCTATGGAAAACAATAAACATTGGATCTTTTTGTGTGAACCAATTTTTGTCCTTGGCTTTTAAAGAAGACAAACCTTAAATGTAACACCGTTATATTTTACTAACATTTAGGTGAACTAATATATTTTTGCACTTCTCAAATACAAACATGTGCCGATTTTATATAGCTACTTATATTTAGGCTTAATTAACAAAATTTACTAGAAAAAAATCCACGTGATCCGTCGGCAGCAGACGGGACTCAAACCCAGTTGCAGTCCATGCATGGATCTTTTTCTAGTAAAATGTTCTTTAGATTTTTTAGTTAACTTTAATTAATTAGTTAATACTTTTATTAAAACTCTCATCAACTTCTATTGCTATTTATACACAGCTTCCAATAGGATTGGAAATGTTTCACTGAAATTTATTTTATTAAGAAAAATCTACTTGTACGTTTGAAGAATTACGACGTTAATTCAGAAACACCTACCTAAAATATATCTGACGGTATTTTGCTAAACCATATATGTATACAGGGCGTATACAAATTTTGCAAAATCGAGAAGGGTCCAATGGAGCAGTGTTAAGGGAATTAGTACCTTAATCATGGAAATTAAGAAACTTTCGTAAAGACACGTACCAAAAATGTATTAAGTTATATTGATCCTCTCTGCGCCTCGGAACACACATTAAGTTAAGCCGTAGGTCCCGAGTACAACTTCACTGGGCCCTAGCAGAGGGTTTTAATCTATTCTCCATATTCCCTCTGTAGGAATAACCTGTGCCGCAGCAGTGGAGACATGGACAGACTAAAGACAAGGGCGTCGCTAGCCGATGACCTAGTCAGGGCAAGCTCATGAAGCTTCACACTTATAGTGCTCTTAACTCAGTTGAGATTACAGTTCCCTATAGAATTCATTCGAGTTTCGACGTCCATGATGCAGAAATGTTTGGGCTGCCAAGTAGGAGTGCCACCGAGTAAGTAACTTGGCTGCCCAAACACTGTCCATGTTAGTCCACTGACTAAGGACTTTGGTAGCTTTATTTTTTATAAAGTTCCCTCCTTGCGGCGACGCCCCTGACTAAAGATGATACATATTTTTTTATCTCATCATCATATCAAATCACGATTAAAGTACTATACATTTTATGAAGTTCACTGCTCACATTTGTAGATATTTGTCATTGAGCGTTGCTACTTAACACTTGCTCTCACATTCGCTGTCATTTTTCCACATCAATAACATTCTCACATGAACAATTAAACTATTCACTTGATAGGTACCTTACTTCCAACAAGTACCAGTCAACTTTTCTTAGCATCTTACTCAT